AAATGTCCCTGCACAGTCAGCCATTCCTTCATATGCGTTAGCCTGAATATGATCACAGTTTTCCATTAATACTTGATTACGTCAAACAAGACAGGGGCTGCGTAACCTATGCTCTGTTCCTATTGTGTTTTGAGATTTCACTAAAATCACAGCTCCCTTATTTTACGCTTCAGTTGCATTGTAGCAGCTCCTGAGCAGGCAAGCAAAGCTGTGCTTGCTAGTAGCAGATTCCCAGTCATGAGCTTAATTACAGCTGAGAATATGTGAGAGAGGAAATAAGAGACACTTTATCTAAAGCATCCTTCCCAGCTTGTGATTTTGAAGCTGGAATGGAAAGGGCCTGGGAAGGGATTATTAACGTACATAAATGGCACCTGAAGAATGCGGTGTTAAATTACTGCAAAGCTGTTGTAGTTTGAAGAAGGAAGCTGTGATCTGCACATCTGCCATTCTTTGGAAACACTTTCCACTTGTGACTTTCCCGTGTGATCGTAGCCCCGGCAGCTGCTGCCAGGTGCCTGCTCTCCCTTCCTCTCCCTCTCTTCCCTCCGGTCCTCCTGCAGGCCTCCTCGCTGGGAAACACAGCCATGCTTTCAAGGGAAATGGCTTCTCCTGTTGCATTTACTGCTTCGTGCGCTTTACCCTGAGCTCTCCAAGGCCTTCAGATGTCCTTGTTCACCCTAAAACTCTAAATGAAAGACAGTAAGCAAGCCAGCAAAAAGGCTGTAGTGCATTTCTACTCCTCTGGCCTTTGAACTAAGCCAGTACCATCATACACCTCTAGATGTAATCCCTGGTTCTGCCTGTGTTAATACGGTGTCCTACTGTACTTTGTTACCTTTTAAAAAACCAGCAGTGCAGGTCGTCAGCATTGAGCACCTTCAGAGGTGTAAAACTCCCAAGTGCCGTTGCAGTGGTTCTGGGTGAAAAGGAAGATCTTATTTTGTCAGCAAAGCTGGGTATTTTTAAAACAGATTATGAAGAACTGTTCTATGATCCAGTTGTCCTCTTTTCAGGCTAACTTGCGCTGAAGCTTCCCTCTATCTTACGGGGGTTATGCTGTCCTACTTCAGGGACTTCAGGCTGGCTTGTCAGCAGAGGGGCATGTGTAGCAAAGGATCCACAGTGCTCCGAGACATGAATTCAGGATAAAATTATCTGGGTGCATGCAGTGTTGGGACCTTTTTGTTGGGTGTGTTCAGTTTCTTTAAAAAGTAATTTTTTTTCAGTTTTGAATCGGCCAGAAAGACAGACTTCCGATCTTCAAATTGTTCCCAGTCCCTCCTATAATAATAGCTTTGGGGTTGCCTGGAAATAGCTTTCCAATAGAAGGCTGAAACCTCTTCTTCAGGGTAAGGATGACATCCTGTTGCCTTCTCTTTTCTTTTGAGATTAGTGTGGTGGTTAAACTGTCTTCCCCTGGAGGCTCACATAAGTATCTTAGCCAAATGAAAGACCAAAGCTTCTCAGCTTGCTGGCTGAAGTTAATATCTGTGCAGCTCATTTTGCTTTTGGAGGAAAAAAAAAGTTACTCTTCTCAGGGTTGTTGCTTGAGGCCTTTGTTATCAGCGTGTTTCCAAATGAGCTCTTCTGAGAGATTCAGATTTCGGGCCCTCCTAGGGAAGAGGGGCATACGCATTCACTGTTGCACATGTCAGAAAATCTTTTGGACCAAGTTGTTGAAGCCAGAGCTGTGGTCCAGTGTCCAGAAACATGTAGGGCTGGCAAGTAGACTATTTACAAATGAGGGAAAGAAATTTATGCTCATTTTTTACATTGGAGCAAGTAGCAGGTGAAATCAGATTCTTACCTGGGGAATTTCTTCCAGTCACATACCAGGAGCAGCAGCAAGCAGGACCCCAGGGCCCAGCCACCAACACCCTTGTTTTGTGAAACTGGAGACAGTTTCCTTGGGTTATCTGAGCCCACATTGCTTTGGTGAGAAATCTTACTGCTCACTGCAGAGCAAAGGGGAAGGATAGTCTTGTGATTAAAACATAAAAATAAAACCCAACAACTAAGACTGAGTCAGGAATCCAGACTTCTTGATTCTGACGCCGATGCTGAAAAATCTTAGCTTTAGATTAGACTGCGTAACAGCTTTTCAATGGTGGCTACTTACTCTCTTTCAAGAGGGATGTTATTTGGGCTTCTACTTGAGCAAGCCTAAGTTTTTAGCACTTTTTTTTATTCCAGCCATAGTCTGTAAGCATTCAACATGCACACACAAATTGTCACTGCTTCTCTAGGCCAATGGGGTTTTCTTGCTTTTTCAGCATTAGCTTTGCAGATGTAGATTGTCATTATTAATTTGCCTTTAATCGTGTTTTGTGTACATCCCAGGGCTCTACCAGTCACGTATTGTAAGCTAGTGCTTTTGGCTGCTAGCGAGGAGGAGTATGGTGCTTTTGGAAACTTAAACTTTTGGGTATTTTTTGGTTTTTTGCTATTCCAAACTCTGAAGCAACAGACACTGTCATGAACTTTACACTAGAGAACTAACTCTATTGATTGCAGCATGTACCATGCTTTGAAAATGCAAATTGTTCTCTGAGTAAAACATGTTACTTCAGGTAGGATTTAAATATCAAATAAGAACAAGAGAGAGTCAGAAAATAGACACAAGCAGACTTGCGGAGAACAAAGTGGGTCTAAGCCTTGCATGTTTGTTCATTATGGTTTTTCCTGTGTGATGGTAATACCTTCGTAATTGTAAAACTTAAATCTTTGGCAAATGAGGTAGCTGGCATACAGATATCAGTACAAGATATCAAGTCACAATTTCCACACCTTCCTGAGTTTAAAAATTGTTAGTGATGTATGGGGTTTGTGCTTTGTCAATGAATCTAGTTGGAGCAAAGGAAAATGAAATAGGTGTCTTGAGTCTGAGACTGGTACAGAAACCGTGATGTCAAATCTGAACAAGAGAAGTAGGCATCTTGTGGGTTTCCGAGATCCAGTGTCAGGATGTTCTGTGTATGTACTTGCATGTCCTGATCACAGTGTACATAACACGATCTGCTGGGTAAGAATAGTCTGCAGTTGTTGAACCTTCACTCACAGGCAACATGTGGTGCTGTGTGTCTTTATACAAGAATTTCTAGAGTGCCAGTTGCCTTTTAATGTTTAGATACTCCTTTACAGTTTTATATGTAGTATGAAGAGGTCACTAGAGAGTTAAAATGAAACTGGTTTCTCCCTACAGATCTCTTTCAATGTCACACCATACGTGAATATACTGATTTCCTTCAGAGATGGATTTTCATGCTTTAGCTGCTTGGGCTTAGAGGGTCAGTGTGTATTTGTTGGAGTGTGTGCTACTCTGAGCGTGAATAATTTAGACCTTTTGCAGTTTCAGGTCCCTTCGTGCTAGTGTTACATGAGGCTCTGAAACTCTCCATGTTGGACTTTACTCTGCACTTCTGTGGCTGGGTGTGGGTTGGCGTATTGGTGACTGGTTGCCTTCCTCTTAATCACACGCGAGCTTTATGGGTGCTGGTTAATGTGCTGCTTGCTTTCTGTAGCCATCAAACATCTAACCCTTTTGCAGTCTGTTTTTTTATGATAGAAGACTTGAAGCATTTTTAACAATCACGTTCTTACCTGGGGTTCCAGGCTTGCTATTTTTCAGGTCTGTTTTCCCCCAGATCAGTTTAGGCGTGCACTTGAGTGTTGAAATAACTGAAATAAGGAAGCTGCCTGTTTCTAGTAAAGTTTTGCATTGCATTGCGTAGTCTTAAGGAGAAGCAGAGTGCGTCCCAGAGGGCAGTAGTGGTGGAGTCAAGTGCTGAGGCAGGAGGAGTGTGAACTGCCAGCTTGCTTGGTGCCTAACCATGCCCAGTAGAAGACAGCCCAGTTTCTACCATGACTTTGGCTTGCTTAAGCCTAGGGTGACCTCAGGGAGTGCCTTATAAATGTGAGTTGAAGGCCTGTTGAATTGACAGGCTTGCTGCTTGCCTTCCACAACAGTGCTGCTAATCCTTATGGCCAGTTCTTGCTGTTTCTATCGTGAGCCTCCAAGAGCATTTCTCCACTTTCTGGCTACAAGGGTCAAGTCATTCCATGAGAAAACTCATTTTCATTTGAAAACAGCCATGTGTCTTTCTGATTGATAAGACAAACTTACAAATGTGATCCAAATTTACCCAAATGTTTCAGAAATCAGCAGGGGGTAGAAACAGAATAAAAAAAGGTTGATTTTCTTTTCCTTGGGGGCATTTTTCCCTCTGTTCTGACCATAAAGAATTTTGAGTATTTAAACTCTCAATACGGTTATCCATAGAACCAGACTCTGAGTAGCAGCAGACCAGATTCCTACTTGGAAACACCTTTGAGTTCCCATCCTGCGTGGCAGGGTCATCTCAGCTGAGCAGGGCTGGGCTGGCCACGGTGGTGAGGCACAGTTGATGAAGCAGCTCCAACTGAGGACTGCAGCATTATTCCTGCCTTTTCTGTTTGACTTTGCATAAACACAAGGACGTTGCATATCCTGTTTGCTCTGGTTTTCCCATCTGTTTGGGAATAATAGAGATCAGCGGTTTTCTCTTTAAGTTCCAGAGATGAGAGCTGCTACAGTGGCAAACTGTTGTCTGAGCAAAAGCTGACATGGGCATTGATGGGACTGGCGGCTCTGATCCAGTGACCTTTTACGTGCACTAGGAAAAAGATGAAAAGCAGACAGTGGGAATTTAACCTAAAGTGTTGAGCTTTAAATGTAGCAGCTATGGATTTCCTCAGCAATCTAGTTTGACAGGGGTTTTCCTGAAGTGGAGCGCTTGGTGGCTGTGGTTTTGTGGTTTGTTCCCCTCCTGTTCCTCTTCCTCCCAAGGAGAATGGATGGCATGTGACAGGAGACTGTGGTGGACCTTCCTGTTAAGGTGATCCCTTATTTTATTGGGTTTGTAATTATTAAAACGTGTGACTCTTTACTGCTGAAAGTTGTCTGCATTAGTCAAGTCTCCTCGTGTTCCCCTCTGCAAACATATTCTTTCATCTTGCAGTGAGCACAAAGATTCCTCGGAAAAGAAACACAAAGACAAGGAGAAAACCAAACACAAAGATGGCAGCTCAGAGAAACACAAAGACAAACACAAAGATAAAGACAAGGAGAAGAGAAAGGAAGAGAAGGTAGGTGTTTCCTGTGGGAGAGATAGGAGGATGGTTCTGGTTTATACTACTGAGTGGTACAAACTTGGTGGGTTAGATGTAGTTTGTACGTCCAAGTTTTTATCAACCTGGGGAGAATTATCCTAATGCTAACCCAGAGACTTGGTTTGTGGAGTGCTACATATGAACTTGTAAGGGCTTCATCTGCAGGTGTTGTGAATGGGAACAGTTCCATGGTGGAGCTGTGTCCACTGGTTCCACACTTTTTTCCTGTGTTACTTTGTACTTTGCCAAGCTTAGATTCAGAGACAAGGGAGAAAAATCTGTTAGATCATATTTGTTCCATGCAAGGACAAACTATACACTCAACTCCGATCTCCTGAAGAAATTGGAGGGCCAGAAAATACTGAATTGACTAAGACTTACAGAAAATTTTGACTTTTTGGTTTGTCATGAAGGTCACTAATAGCTACAGGGGATGAAGGTGCAGTCACAGTGCCCTTTGGTTCCTTCCGCAAGTTAACTATCCTGCTTGCATGTTGGAAAAACATAAGGTGTCCTGGGCAGTGCTAATCAGCTCCTACTTTCTATGTTTTTCAGATGAAATCATCTTCTGGTGATATAAAAATAAAGAAGGAAAAGGAAAATGGTTTCTCCAGGTAAGAAATCAGGTCTATGATCTGAAAAAAGTAGCAGTTTGACTTTTCTTAGGTGCTCAGTGTTGACTCCTCTCACTTGGTCTTGGGAAAAAATTGGAATGCTTTTGACCCCTTCAGAGAATACATTCTTCTCAATTACAGAAATTGCTAATTGATCTACTTACTTAGTAACTGGAGATGGGAGCTGTTGAATACCTGGTATCTGCCTGCACATGCTGGGTTTGTCCAAGGATTAAATAGTTGAATTCTGCAGAGGAAAGATTGAACTATGGAAACATTGGTAGCTGGAGTTGAAAGAGCCTCTGTTGTAAAATTGGTACTTGAACCCTGCAGTCAATCTTCTGGAGATGTGGCCTTGTAAAGACAGTCCAGATTGCCTCTGAGTGTCTCTTCTGTGAGTGACTGCAGCCTAAAGCCTTTGCAGAGAGGAGTGACGAGTAAGGAGGGTGCTTGTGTAAAATCAGAAGTACCTTCAGAAAATGCCTAGATGTCCTACTCTACTAAATTCCTGCTAATAATAGAGCCTCCTGGACTTAGGTGCTGTATCAGACATCACTAAGTAGTCTTACTAAAAACCTTAAATGAGCAATTGATAGAAGAGTACTTTTTCTTAATAGCTAAGATCTCTTGTGACTTGATTAAATCCAGCCATTGGTTATTTTTTAAGGTGGTAAATCCAGTCCACTGACTTACTGGAGGTCTGTGATATGGTGGATACATGTGTTTGTATCTGTTAATCAAGAAAAGCTTTCAAACACGTGTCCAGTATTATGAATCCACTTTAAAAAGAAAAACAAAACCAACCCGAAGTCCTTCCAGTCTCACCATGTTCTGTGGACACAGAGGGGTTGGGAGAAGACACCTGTCTAGCCCATGCCTATTAGTTATTCTTTGTGTATTTTAAATGTGCCCTGTTGACATGAGTTCCTCCAGGGTTCCCTTCCAACCCAAAACATTCTATGATTCTATCTGTTTCGTTTTCTTACTCCTATTTAAAAATGCAAACTAAGTAGTAATGCTTGGCACAGGGAAGAGGCGCCCTCTCCAGGCCCTTTTGGGGATACTCTGGGAATAGAAAGCAATCACATTTAGGTGTTTCATGGTGTAGGAGACAGTTAATAATAACTCTTTCTAGCCTCTACTGTTCAGTAGAATTGCATGCATGTGCCAATCCCACCAGGGATGTTCGGTGTTCTCCTATCAAGGTAACTGGGTCCTCTTTAGGTCCAAGATTTTTTTGTGTGTTTGAGGAAAGCCTGGAGGAGCCATCACAATTGTGCCTTTTTCAGGGCCAAAAGCTGGCTAAGAGTAAAGTAATTATTTTCTTCTTTTCCTG